AGTAAGCTTAGCTTCTGTTGTGAAGAAATTTCTCATTATGAAACCAATTTGCCATCTACATTTAGAAATAATAGATGATGCATGTTCTTCAAAGTTCAGACTTCTTGTGTAATTAATACCTAGATCGTGTACTGATTTGAGTGTCTAGACTCTATTTTTATTTAAATCAAGTTGTAGTTTATAGGGATGCTTTCCAAACTGCATGGTCCCGCACTTGTTGAGGTTAAATGGTAATTGCCATTTTTCACTCCAGATAGTTAAGTTATTGAGGTCATTTTGGATCAGGGGTACACTTTCGCTTAGGGTCTCGGGCTTATAACTGTATACTATCTTGAGATCATCAGCATATAAGTATGGTTTCCCAAATGTTATGGTGTTACATATATCGTTTATATACATAAGAAACAAGAGTGGGCCTAATACGCTTCCCTGGATGACTCCACTAGTTATTGGTTTAGGTGATGAGAGACAGTCATTGTACTTTACAATCTGTTTACGTTCGGTTAAGAACGAAGCAAACCATGAGTACAGTGGGTCGTTTATTCCGAAGGACTTCAGTTTGACGAGAAGCCTTTTATGTGGGACCTTATCAAAGGCTTTTTTAAAGTCTAAGAATAGGACTGATACAAGGAGTCCGTTGTCTCTTTTCAGAGTTATATCATTCAGGTAGTCTACTAGGCATGTATCGCATGATCTTGACCTAAGAAATCCATGCTGGGAGGTCAAGATGAGTTTATTAGTAAGTAGATGTTGGACTACAGCCGCCTTAACTACTTTTTCCATCACTCTAGATACCACTGAAGTTATGTTTATGGGTCGGTAATTGTCAACATTTGCTTTAGGTCCTGTTTTAATTTCGGGAATGATGTGTAGTTTTCCGGGCAGTAGGGTAGCACGCTGTAGAGAGTGATATTGCAAATAGTTTGAGAAGCAAAACACACATATCATCACCTCCACGTTTTAGCATGCTAGCTGGAATATCATCTGGTCCATCAGTGTATGAGTGTTTCAATGTACTGATTGCCTTAGAGATATTTTGTACATTAAAGTTTACATTAGTAATTTCATAAGGAGGTACTAGGATTGGTTCTGAATCGTTTAGTGGTTTTTCGTTAGTTAGTGAGCAACAAAAGTGTTTACTAAATAGTTCCGCAACAAGTTTAGGGTCTTCGTATACTTGTTTGTCTTTAATGAATATGCTCCCTCTCGATTTGGAACGTTTAAGTTTATTTTGAAGGAGTATGGTGAGTGAAGAAGAGTTATTGTTAAGTTCGACTGCACGTTTTTCCTGTGCGACTGCTTTTTGTGTACTTATTGCCTATGTTCGGATAATTATTTCAGTCATCGTCACCAAAGAGGAAAAGTCATTAAAGTTGTGGAATCGAGTACAATGTCTTTGAAGACGTCTTCGTGTACCGACCGGCACATAAAGATCTTTGGGGACCGTAGGTCTACAGTATTCTAAAGGTGCGATTTTGTTGATGATACTTCTGATGTTGAGATAAAATATATTGGTTAGTGTGTCGGTATCGTTTGCAGTAAAGAAATTTCCCCAGTCAGTGCTTCTTAGGTGATTGTGGAAGTTATTCCAATCAACCTGGTGATAGTTTCTACGAAGTGTTGCGGTTTTACGTCTACCGGTTGTGGTTTTTTTATTAAGGCTGCATATGACAATGTTATGATCACTACCTGGAAACGTTTTTCCAATATACATAGTATTGGGGTTGAGGCCACTGGTAAAGACTAAGTCCAAGATATTTTGATGTCTGCTGGGGCTATTGACATACTGAGTCCATTGTCCGAGCTCTAGACATTCTATAAATGATTCATAACGCTTCGGCGCCTTGACTGGGAACCAGGAAATTTCGGGCATGTTGAAGTCACCACTAATAAGCTTGCCTGTGAATGGAAGGGATGATGCTAGTGTGAATACCTCCGATAGTGTTGCTATGTCATCTATTGATGCGTTAGGTTGACGGCAAACACAGCCGAACAGTAAGGTAACGGAATTCGACGGTTTTATTACAATCCACACCGAATCCTTCAGATTGTTTAGTTCAGGCATATCACATAGTAGTGAGTTTAGGCTAGAGTGAGAGTAAATCAGGCATCCTCCGCCTCGTCCCTTCAATCTATCACTTCTATATAGTAAATAGTTGTCAAGAGATATAATTAGGTCGGAAATATTACTGTTGGTTCATGCATCAGATATCATAATAAGTGATGGTTGATATACGGATACAAACAGGGCTAAATCCGTCTTTTTATTGCAGATCGACATAGCGTTGATGAGACATATATTAAACAAATGGCCTACTAGGTTAAAATGAGTGAGAGTATCTCGAATAAAGTCGTTGTACATTCGCGGGTGTGATAGGGGTTTAAAATGAGGGATTGGATGTTCTTCAATAGCTCGGTAAAAATATTAATAGAAAATTAGTCCAATAATAGTCCTGGGAAGTTACCTGTAGTTTCATCATCACTGGGATATAACATTAATGGTAACAGAAATATATGAGAATGACCTCAAAACAACAAGTTACAACGTCTTCAGATGAACCGAGACGAATATATATGTTCACTAAGAGCATATCGGGTGTACCTCATTCCGACCGGTCGTATAAAATGTTTATATTCCTCAACATAATGACTTACAATGGAAACAGTTTACAAAATAATATTTTGTCACATTTTATCCACTAAATGAACATAAAGCTTTCAATACCCTACACATACATTCACGGATAGACAAGCTACGAGTCAGATTGTTTGCCAATATGAATAGTGGGGATTTTCAATCAGCAACAGAAACCAAGAGGAGTCGCATAAAAATTAATTTTAATTACACGTCTGACAATTGTTTGTCGCATTATTTTCATCATCATATTTACAGACTAAAGCAAATTTGAATATACAGTTAATTGATTGGCAGTCACCTGACTGGTATCGATCGTGTAAATTCAAATATCACTTCTATGTATTAAATAGCATGCAACGGTCAGAAATATCAGTTGAAAGTTGGTCGCTCACTGAACGGCTGTGTATTTGTCCGCTGCGATTTCTTGTTCATATCACTAGTACAAACATTACGATTATGGCCGCCATCTTACTCACCATGATTGTTCTCGTCCTACTTTCGGTAATGAGAACATTCATTCTGCCTATTGTGTGGAATATCATGACACCTATTTTACTAAGTATTTTGATGATTAGTGTCATGATAAACTCGTCATATACTGTGTTAAATGTTCTCATAACTGTTACACTAAATATTATGACTAAATATTATATCATGTCTGCGACTATCTGCCTAGTAATTTTAACTATCATGATGATTGTTATAATAATTAGGATAATAGTTATCGAATTAGGGTCTTGTGTATGCTGACTGTTTTGTCAGCTACCATGCTGATTAGTATAATCTAAATGCAGGTTATAATGCAATTTAAAAATGATGCTTATTTGTATTTTCTATTTATTCTCCTTTGATAGGGGTAGGATGGCAGGTGACGAAGGAGAATATGAGAAGAGAATACTGAACAACAATGTGATTGTAATGTTGTACAAATTTGATTTGATATATAATATAATATAATTTTAAAACAATCCACATTTGTGTTTTCAATGTATTTACTGGTAGATAGTGAATGTGGGCAGTATAGGGAGTGCTTGTAAAAGTCTCATCACTGGGTAGGGTCGGTGAAGTGTAGGAGTTGCTCGGTTGTGCAGCCGTGGTAATTGTACAAACTGATGATTCCTTCGTACTTGATTGCACGCTGATTACGAATCGCAAATATAATACGTTCATTTGTGCTGATCTAGTTCTGACTGCCTTAAATAGCACCGTAGGTATTTTCTCCGAGCTAGTCATCATTATGAGTTTCTGAATAGTGGGGAGACAATTCAGGAATATGATCATTTTTATGATTCTCCGTACACATTTAAACGTACTCAATGTATGAATTTCTGACGAGATACTGTTCGAAACTTTGTAGGAAGCAATTTCCTACAGGTGTAACTCTAAGCTATTCTCTAGACCGTCAAACACAGAGTCTTGGTTTAGCCAAAGTCAGAACAAGTAAGCTATTTGGCTTGATAAACTTTGTCTGTTTCTAAAACATAATTTCACACCGTTACTATACAAAATAAACAATACAGTCTATCAACACAGGGAAAAACAGAGACATAAATAACATACCGAACAGTAGCTAGAGGATAGGAAAAATGAGTCAACAGGGCAAATATTGTTTTATAATCAACATAAAGGTAATTGTGCTTAGTGAATAAACAAGACATAGTGATACAAGGTCAAAGAAAGTTAATGTGGTGGTGGTGGTGGTGGTGGTGGGCGTTTCACTTTATCATTGGTGAGTTCGTTTATCGATCACACCTCACACTCATTTCGTTCAATTCAAATACAACTTCCATCCATTCGGTTTAAGTTGTTCTATAGCCATATTTTACGAAGTGATGGATCATGTTGTCAGTGATCTCAAAGTTGTTCAAGTTTATCAAGGTGATCTTATTATTCTATTATTATGGTTCTCACAAAGTAGCTCATGATCAGAGACTTATCGCTTGATTGCGTCGTTTAATGGTGAAGAACAATACGGCGAATTCCAATAAATGTCCACATTGTGTATCTAGTTTTGAATATCTTCCATACCTAGTTGACGGTAACGGTTTTAAACCAGATATGAAGCAACAAGCTCCACTGATTACTCACTGATTAAGAATTACAAATATTTTACGTCCAGTTTTGTTCTTCTAGTTCTACCTGCCTTGAATAGCACTGTTTCGGAAATGCTTACTTAGTACATTAATTCTAATACTTCTAATTATTATGGTAGCTCTCACGTATGAGTATGTCAGTTTAGTAGTAGTTACCTAATTTGCTAGCAATTTAAGCGTACTCAATGCACAACCCGTAAGTCGTAGAACAAAGTAGCCGTTTCATGAGTCACCATCTGTTATAACTTGTGACCGCCGATTAGAGAGCAGTGACTTATCTTGACGCGGTACGTTTGAAGTTTGCGTTACGATAACTCTATCAAATATATATTCATTGTATATCGTTGAGTCCTAGTTTATAACTCATACATAGCTTTAGAATTCATACTTTAATCAATATGGGTCGATTGTCAAATAAACGAGCACGGAAAAGCCCTAACTCTTCAGATATTAACAATTCTGTTATTTCCTATTCTTCTTGCTCCACTACTCCTTTTGTATCTGATAATGTTGGGACTGGTCTTACACCACACGTGCTGCCGGATGACTCTGTTTCTAATTTAGTAATGAGTTCCACCTCAAGATAAAAAAGGATCGATGATATGAAGAGTGAATTAAACACTCTGTTTAAGCAACTAAGCGACATGCGTTCTAAATTCGCGTCACTTTCTAGCTCTTTATCAAAGCATGATGATCTTAAGCAAGAACTAAAGACACTATCACCCTTAAAACTGCTTTTGTCAAAAGACATCGTTCCTGCGGAACTTGATGACATCATAAAAGCAGAATCTGTTATCGATTTTATCGCTAGTGAAGTTACCAAGCGAATAGTCTCTCGTAATAACGTGATTGTCTATAATATACCTGACAAAGTCCCCATTAAAACTGTAAGAAATTCGATATTAAAACCATCTAACCTCCAAGACAGTCCATGCCAATGCATCCGACTTACTAAGAAGCACCAGAAATACTCGTGCCCGGTCTTGTTCAGGTTTGATTCTCATATATTAGCTGGACAGTTAAAAGAATCTGAGCGGCTGATATGCGCGCTTACGAAGTTTAGAAACGCTCGCATAGTCTCAGATAAGACCACCAATCAAAGACTTACGCAAAAACGTACCGTGAACGAAAATAAAGATGTTGAGATCATAAAAAATCACGATGCATCAGCTGCTGGATCCACTGATACTGATACCCTATCTCATGTTCTCCAGTACTCTGATCTGCCAACGAAGAGTGCTAACTTACCTATTATGCCTGTAGTGACATCTGATAACCAATGTACATCTACTGATTACACTAATCCGATAGTATCCAATTTACCATTAGAAGCCCATAAGCAAATACCTAGTCCTGATGCGACGGCTCTTAAAAACACTGTCAAGATTAAAAAGTCTATGCCACGTAAGAAGAATGTTTGTACAGAACCTTGGGGTTCTAGACCCAATAATAAAAGTATTACGATGGCCCTACTAAATACAAATAAGACTATACTTCCCGACACCATGCTTTACCCAACGTATCGTAAGGGAGGATATAAGGTCAAACCTGGTTCAAATGTCTCACAAGACGGCCACTTCAATCATTATGTAAGTAGGCCTAATACTGGACAGACCACAGTAAACCAACGAGCCTCACGAGTACCCTCAAACGTTTTAAATGATAAACCTGTGAGACGTAACCTCTCTCAACACTTTCCCATTAGGCAAGATGGATTACTAGGTTACCCAACATCAAACGTTTTAAATAATATACCAGTAACACGTAACTTTTCTCAACACTTTCCCATTGGGCAAGATGGATTACTGGGTTACTCACCATCAACCCAACCTTGTCTTAACTGTCCGCCTAGTCAAGTTCAACAAATTAATCCGCTTTATCAAAATAATGATTTTTTTTGGCCTTCAGAAATCCCTGGTCCCACTAGCACTACAGTTTGCTCAAGCGATCGCCCATGTGATCAGTCAAACATAATCAACCACAGTCTATGCAAATCCAAAATACACGACATCAATAGGGAAGCTCTCAGTTTTTTTACACTCCATACGCCCTTTCTAAATCTATTACTTATCAATGCACGTTCACTTCTGAACAAAATTTCAGCCTTGAGAACATTAGCCTTTCTATCCAAGCCTTCTTTCATACTTATCACTGAAACATGGTGCTCTCATGCAGTATCTGATTCAGAATTAAATATCCAAAACTATAGACTCTATCGCTGTGACAGAGAAACTAAGCGAGGAGGTGGTTGTATTATACATGCTTTGGATATCCTAACAACTAATAGAGTTGAAGATAGTGTCCTGAATAGTTTACCAGAATCAGTCTGGATATCTGTCAACACCCTGAATCATAGTCTACTCCTTGGATGTATATACAGAGCTCCTGAGAGCTCAAATAATGGGAATAATCTTATTATCAATGCATTCATACATGCATCTGCTCTTAACTTTAATGCTAAGGTTATCACTGGGGATTTCAATTATCCTGGGATTAACTGGAGTACCGGTAGCTGTCAGTCATGTAATGAGGAGTTCTCGACAACCATTAACATGCACTGTTGGTCACAGTGGGTTCGTACCCCAACTAGAGGTGATAGTATACTCGATCTAATATTTAGTAGAGATATTATCCCACTGTCTGTAAAAGTATACGATGAATTTGAAAGCAGTGGCCATAAGACAGTAGTATGGGCTCTCCCTATATTTCCCTCTTCTAACCGACCCATTCAAAAAACCTGTCAATATAGAGACTTTAAGCATGCCGACTGGGACCTCCTGCATTCACTGATTAAACTTTCAGACTGGGATAACTTTTTTTCATGTACTAATCTCATAGATGCTATCGACGAATTCTATTTGATCGTTAACTCTTGTTTAGATTCTTGTGTACCTCTTAAAACGTACAGATTTATTAAACCTTACGAATTATATATACCAGCTAAATATCGTAATAATCTAAGACGCCTACAGAATCGTCATTTCAAGTCAAACGACTTCACGGCAGCTGCGCAAATAACAATAATTTTTAATCAAATTAAAGAGACACATAGGTTAAAAGCCATTAATGAGGAGTTACTAGCACTTAATAGTAACTCAAAAGTACAAAACCAAACTCTACTTCTCAATAAACGCGCTAAAGTAACTCAAAATATTGATATACCATGCATCCAGCATAATAACACTTTTATATACGACTCTAAAACTATGGCAGACCTTTTCAGTGGTACTTTTGCGAATGATGTAGGAACCACAAGTGGCTCTGCTTCAAGAGTTACGTGCGTGACCAGCAACTCCATAAAATCTATCTCCTTCACATGTAAGAAAATTAATATGGCTATAAATGCCCTTAAGCTTTCGCGCGGTCATGGAGCAGACGGGATTCCATCCTTTCTCTACAAATACGGTGGTCCAGATATTCCACTTCTTCTTCTAAAGCTGTTTACTCTCTCTATGGAAACTGGTTCTTACGCTTACTGTTGGAAAACCGCGTACATCATACCACGTTATAAATCTGGAGATAAGACTGACATGAACAATTATCGGCCAATAAATATTACTCCAGTAATCTCTAGGATTATGGAGAAAATTGTAAGTGATGAACTTTCCAACTATTTACTCGCTGGAAACTTTATCAATGATACTCAACATGGATTTCTCAAAAATCGATCTTGCATGACATGTCATTTTGACTTCTTTAATTTAGTCTATTCTCTACGTAGCCAAGGATATCTAGTCTTAGTGCTATATCTGGACATTTCTAAGGCCTTTGACATGGTTAACCACCAACTTCTTATAGGCAAACTTGCATCTTATGGGGTTCAAAATCCTTTGCTAGATTGGATTGATTCATTTCTCAGCAATCGACATCAAATAGTTAAAATTAACTCTTCATTGTCTAACGCTGTTCCCGTTAGAAGTGGTGTAACACAAGGTAGTGTCTTAGGCCCTTTGCTCTTTTTAGTGTTTATCAATGACATTTGTGAAAATTTTTGTGTAGGTAAGCCCCTTCTATATGCAGATGATCTTAAACTAGTATATTCATTTTCTCCACATGAGCTGGAAAATATGCAAACTTGCATTAACTTGGAGCTTAACAAGGTAGCACAGTGGTGCTTAAAATGGCAACTGGAACTTAATACGGCTAAATGTGGATGGATATGCTTCGGCGATACATCACTTAACCTAGACCTTACCATAAATGGAGAAATGTTATCTAGGTTACATACAGTAGTAGACTTAGGACTTAGATACTCCCAAGACTTATCGCTTACAGAACAGATATCGAAACAGACCTCCAAGTCACAACGACTAGTAGGTTACATAATTCGAAACCTTCATAACAATGAATCACGAATTTTAGTGTACAAAGTTTGTGTTCGACCTCTTCTAGAATATTGCACGTTTATTCTTAGCAGTGCGCGCATAGAGGATAAATTAAGGCTGGAATCAGTACAGAGACGATTTACACTTCGTATTCTTGGAGCTGATTGTACCTTAACTTATAATTCTAGATGTAAAAAACTAGAGCTAGACCCTTTATGGAAGAGGAGACTCAAACTAAATCTTTTTTTTTTTCTTCAAACTACTTAATAAATTATCCTTTACATCCAATCATGTAATTCAATATGCAGAAACTCCTCATTATGAAACCCGTAATTCCTTGGCACTTGTGAAACAAACTTATTCTAAATCATCTCTTTATATGAATTACTTTGCCTGTAAATTTTCTAGACTCTGGAATAACCTACCAGAACATATCCGTACGATAAAATCACTCCCATTATTTGTACGTTGCATCGATGCATACTGCTCCTCCGAAAATGCATTGAATGCCCTAGCACCTGCAAGTGTATCTCACTCCACAAGTATTATTATAGGAACTTTAAATGTTTAGGCATTTTTATTAGTGCATTCTCTGGATAAAACCACCAACTTGCTATCATTTTATGTTAATAACGTCCCCAGCTAGTTTAACTAATTTGAATATCATCAACAGTATATCACTGTGTCACATGACATACGCATTTTGATAGATCTGATTGACATATTTCGGTAATTACTTCTTTGTTGTTCCGTGCTCTCTGTTTTCGTTTTAATTTCTCTAGTTGTAGATTATTATCATTAAATCGATCTGGCACACGAAATGACCTTAATTACACCGTTCATAAATCAACAGGCTGTCCAGTTAGGAATATTACATGTTCCCGGCTGATGCATTGGATCGCTGTAATACCTAAACAATTATTGAACTAGTAAACTTAAAACTCATATCACATGTTTGTTCTGTACATATTATTTATATCAAATTGATCATGCCTGTAAACTGGCGTGAATTCTGTAAATATCAATTTTTCAGAATATAAAATTATTATTATTATTATTATCGATCGAATCAATGACTCGTAAAACCCGTACTCGGTTTATATACCAAACAAGCAGACCGCAACGTACGATAAAATAGAAAATAACATATGTACACAAATGAGCCGAAAAGTGGCTGTGAACGCGGGAGACAGTAATTAATAGACAGGCCATAACTCAAGAATGAAAAATCATATAGTGATAATCTAGGGGTCAAATTAAAGCTTATAATAAGTGGAATATAAATACACATAATGTAATTGTTGAATAATTAAACAATAAAAATATTTATAGAAAATTAGTCCAATAATAGTCCTGGGAAGTTACCTGTAGTTTCATCATCACTGGGATATAACATTAATGGTAACAGAAATATATGAGAATGACCTCAAAACAACAAGTTACAACGTCTTCAGATGAACCGAGACGAATATATATGTTCACTAAGAGCATATCGGGTGTACCTCATTCCGACCGGTCGTATAAAATGTTTATATTCCTCAACATAATGACTTACAATGGAAACAGTTTACAAAATAATATTTTGTCACATTTTATCCACTAAATGAACATAAAGCTTTCAATACCCTACACATACATTCACGGATAGACAAGCTACGAGTCAGATTGTTTGCCAATATGAATAGTGGGCATTTTCAATCAGCAACAGAAACCAAGAGGAGTCGCATAAAAATTAATTTTAATTACACGTCTGACAATTGTTTGTCGCATTATTTTCATCATCATATTTACAGACTAAAGCAAATTTGAATATACAGTTAATTGATTGGCAGTCACCTGACTGGTATCGATCGTGTAAATTCAAATATCACTTCTATGTATTAAATAGCATGCAACGGTCAGAAATATCAGTTGAAAGTTGGTCGCTCACTGAACGGCTGTGTATTTTTCCGCTGCGAATTCTTGTTCATATTATTAGTACAAACATTACGATTATGGCCGCCATCTTACTCACCATGATTGTTCTCGTCCTATTTTCGGTAATGAGAACATTCATTCTGCCTATTGTGTGGCGTATCATGACACCTATTTTACTAAGTATTTTGATGATTAGTGTCATGATAAACTCGTCATATACTGTGTTAAATGTTCTCATAACTGTTACACTAAATATTATGACTAAATATTATATCATGTCTGCGACTATCTGCCTAGTAATTTTAACTATCATGATGTGTGTTATAATAATTAGGATAATAGTTATCGAATTAGGGTCTTGTGTATGCTGACTGTTTTGTCAGCTACCATGCTGATTAGTATAATCTAAATGCAGGTTATAATGCAATTTAAAAATGATGCTTATTTGTATTTTCTATTTATTCTCCTTTGATAGGGGTAGGATGGCAGGTGACGAAGGAGAATATGAGAAGAGAATACTGAACAACAATGTGATTGTAATGTTGTACAAATTTGATTTGATATATAATATAATATAATTTTAAAACAATCCACATTTGTGTTTTCAATGTATTTACTGGTAGATAGTGAATGTGGGCAGTATAGGGAGTGCTTGTAAAAGTCTCATCACTAGGTAGGGTCGGTGAAGTGTAGGAGTTGCTCGGTTGTGCAGCCGTGGTAATTGTACAAACTGATGATTCCTTCGTACTTGATTGCACGCTGATTACGAATCGCAAATATAATACGTTCATTTGTGCTGATCTAGTTCTGACTGCCTTAAATAGCACCGTAGGTATTTTCTCCGAGCTAGTCATCATTATGAGTTTCTGAATAGTGGGGAGACAATTCAGGAATATGATCATTTTTATGATTCTCCGTACACATTTAAACGTACTCAATGTATGAATTTCTGACGAGATACTGTTCGAAACTTTGTAGGAAGCAATTTCCTACAGGTGTAACTCTAAGCTATTCTCTAGACCGTCAAACACAGAGTCTTGGTTTAGCCAAAGTCAGAACAAGTAAGCTATTTGGCTTGATAAACTTTGTCTGTTTCTAAAACATAATTTCACACCGTTACTATACAAAATAAACAATACAGTCTATCAACACAGGGAAAAACAGAGACATAAATAACATACCGAACAGTAGCTAGAGGATAGGAAAAAATGAGTCAACAGGGCAAATATTGTTTTATAATCAACATAAAGGTAATTGGGCTTAGTGAATAAACAAGACATAGTGATACAAGGTCAAAGAAAGTTAATGTGGTGGTGGTGGTGGTGGTGGTGGGCGTTTCACTTTATCATTGGTGAGTTCGTTTATCGATCACACCTCACACTCATTTCGTTCGATTCAAATACAACTTCCATCCATTCGGTTTAAGTTGTTCTATAGCCATATTTTACGAAGTGATGGATCATGTTGTCAGTGATCTCAAAGTTGTTCAAGTTTATCAAGGTGATCTTATTATTCTATTATTATGGTTCTCACAAAGTAGCTCATGATCACAGACTTATCGCTTGATTGCGTCGTTTAATGGTGAAGAACAATACGGTGAATTCCAATAATTGTCCACATTGTGTATCTAGTTTTGAATATCTTCCATACCTAGTTGACGGTAACAGTTTTAAACCAGATATGAAGCAACAAGCTCCACTGATTACTCACTGATTAAGAATTACAAATATTTTACGTCCAGTTTTGTTCTTCTAGTTCTACCTGCCTTGAATAGCACTGTTTCGGAAATTCTTACTTAGTACATTAATTCTAATACTTCTAATTATTATGGTAGCTCTCACGTATGAGTATGTCAGTTTAGTAGTAGTTACCTAATTTGCTAGCAATTTAAGCGTACTCAATGCACAACCCGTAAGTCGTAGAACAAAGTAGCCGTTTCATGAGTCACCATCCGTTATAACTTGTGACCGGCGATTAGAGAGCAGTGAATTATCGATCGAACCAATGACTCGTAAAACCCGTACGAGCAGCCTAGAGTCCTGATTAGTCTCGCTTCCTGCCTAGCCCAGCCAGTTAAGTCCAGAACACCAATCCGAGCCTCTGCGATATGAATCATGTATTTCAAACATACTCGGTTTATATACCAAACAAGCAGACCGCAACGTACGATAAAATAGAAAATAACATATGTACACAAATGAGCCGAAAAGTGGCTGTGAACGCGGGAGACAGTAATTAATAGACAGGCCATAACTCAAGAATGAAAAATCATATAGTGATAATCTAGGGGTCAAATTAAAGCTTATAATAAGTGGAATATAAATACACATAATGTAATTGTTGAATTTTATCAGAAGGGGTTTTGTGGAGATTGTAGTAATTTCAATGATTAAGATCATGAGTCAGTTGAAGCTAGACCACCATGGAAAACCTGGATGCACTGGACGGCCGTTTCGTCCTATTATGGGACTCCTCAGCAGTGCGCATCCACGACCTCGCCCCCTGCGAGATTCGAACCCAGGACTACTGGCTTCGCGCGCGAGCACTTAACCACTAGACCACTGAGCCGGCATCCAACGGTGTTAATGTCTAACTTCAACTAATCCACGAAATTGAGCGACACATCCACCATTGTCTTCAGTGAGTTACTATCCCACAACAGACCTGGTTGAACTCCACTGGTCACTACTGACTCATGATCTTAATCATTGAAATTACTACAATCTCCACAAAACCCCTTCTGATAATAATCAACATATGCTCACTAGTGACTGGCTTCAAGATGTATATCCTGGAGTTCTAGTGAGAAGTAGTGACCAGTGGAGTTCAACCAGGTCTGTTGTGGGATAGTAACTCACTGAAGACAATGGTGGATGTGTCGCTCAATTTCGTGGATTAGTTGAAGTTAGACATTAACACCGTTGGATGCCGGCTCAGTGGTCTAGTGGTTAAGTGTTCGCGCGCGAAGCCAGTAGGTCCTGGGTTCGAATCTCGCAGGGGGCGAGGTCGTGGATGCGCACTGCTGAGGAGTCTCATAATAGGACGAAACGGCCGTCCAGTGCATCCAGGTTTTCCATGGTGGTCTAGCTTCAAATGACTCATGATCTTAATCATTGAAATTGTTGAATAATTAAACAATAAAAATATTTATAGAAAATTAGTCCAATAATAGTCCTGGGAAGTTACCTGTAGTTTCATCATCACTGGGATATAACATTAATGGTAACAGAAATATATGAGAATGACCTCAAAACAACAAGTTACAACGTCTTCAGATGAACCGAGACGAATATATATGTTCACTAAGAGCATATCGGGTGTACCTCATTCCGACCGGTCGTATAAAATGTTTATATTCCTCAACATAATGACTTACAATGGAAACAGTTTACAAAATAATATTTTGTCACATTTTATCCACTAAATGAACATAAAGCTTTCAATACCCTACACATACATTCACGGATAGACAAGCTACGAGTCAGATTGTTTGCCAATATGAATAGTGGGGATTTTCAATCAGCAACAGAAACCAAGAGGAGTCGCATAAAAATTAATTTTAATTACACGTCTGACAATTGTTGTCGCATTATTTTCATCATCATATTTACAGACTAAAGCAAATTTGAATATACAGTTAATTGATTGGCAGTCACCTGACTGGTATCGATCGTGTAAATTCAAATATCACTTCTATGTATTAAATAGCATGCAACGGTCAGAAATATCAGTTGAAAGTTGGTCGCTCACTGAACGGCTGTGTATTTTTCCGCTGCGAATTCTTGTTCATATTATTAGTACAAACATTACGATTATGGCCGCCATCTTACTCACCATGATTGTTCTCGTCCTATTTTCGGTAATGAGAACATTCATTCTGCCTATTGTGTGGAATATCATGACACCTATTTTACTAAGTATTTTGATGATTAGTGTCATCATAAACTCGTCATATACTGTGTTGAATGTTCTCATAACTGTTACACTAAATATTATGACTAAATATTATATCATGTCTGCGACTATCTGCCTAGTAATTTTAACTATCATGATGTGTGTTATAATAATTAGGATAATAGTTATCGAATTAGGGTCTTGTGTATGCTGACTGTTTTGTCAGCTACCATGCTGATTAGTATAATCTAAATGCAGGTTATAATGCAATTTAAAAATGATGCTTATTTGTATTTTCTATTTCTTCTCCTTTGATAGGGGTAGGATGGCAGGTGACGAAGGAGAATATGAGAAGAGAATACTGAACAACAATGTGATTGTAATGTTGTACAAATTTGATTTGATATATAATATAATATAATTTTAAAACAATCCACATTTGTGTTTTCAATGTATTTACTGGTAGATAGTGAATGTGGGCAGTATAGGGAGTGCTTGTAAAAGTCTCATCACTAGTGAATTAAACACTCTTTTTAAGCAACTAAGCGACATGCGTTCTAAAGTCGAGTCACTTTCTAGCTCTTTATCAAAGCATGATGATCTTAAGCAAGAACTAAAGACACTATCACCCTTAAAACTGCTTTTGTCAAAAGGCATCGTTCCTGCGGAACTTGATGACATTATAAAAGCAGAATCTGTTATCGATTTTATCGCTAGTGAAGTTACCAAGCGAATAGTCTCTCGTAATAACGTGATTGTCTATAATATACCTGACAAAGTCCCCATTAAAACTAAGAAATTCGATATTAAAACCATCTAACCTCCAAGACAGTCCATGCCA